GGTCACAGTGTTTGTTCTAAAACTCAAACCCAATCTCAGAGCTCTTTGTTTAAATCCTTCCCAGGGCCTGTCCATCACAGGACTCCAGATCAAGCCCCTCGGGCTCCTCCCTGGCCTAACCCCTATCCATTCCATTCTTGTTTTTCTTAATTTATGTAGTTTTGACTGAAGTATGAGCCAGCCACATTGGGGTCCTCCTAAGCTGCACGCATCCTGTGGCCAGCTCCAGCACCAGTCTCCGGACAGATCTGAGCCTTGGGTTACTCTTCCCTCCGTCCTTCTTTCAATGAGCTCCTCAATATGGTATCCTCTATAGTGTCAGCTTCTGGGATCCCTGCCTGCATTCCTATAAAGCCTTTCTTGCTACAAACAGAATTATCAGTGTTCCTTGTGTGACCCTGTATCCCGACCACAGTGGAGTCCCCAGGCAGGGGTGGGCCAAGCCCCCTAACCTGTTGGGTCTCTGTATTCAGAACTGGCATATGGCTGGTGCTCAGTGGAATGAATTGGAACTGACACATTGTAGTTGGGTGGAGATCTTTATTTAGCAAGTAAGACTCATTTAAAATAATGAACACCTCTTTGTGTAAAAATGTGCCAAAATCTTTTTTTTAATTTACTCCTGGAGAGATTAAAACCATGTGTTTATAATATCAATTCATTTACTTACTTAATCCTTACCTTTTATGGATTTTTTTAACCTTCTATGGCAAAAGGGACCTATTATCACTATTCCCTTTAAATTAATGCCACGTCAGATAATAGGTGTACATGTTGTACAAGTAGATTATGTATAATGTGCTTATCTTTTGATACAGTAAGAATTATCAGGAGTATGTCAAGATGGGTAAAAGGGAGAGAAATTACCAAAGACCCCTCCCATGCCACACACATGTTAACGAGGTCTCTTTTTTGACATAGAGTCCAGCCAGCACATTTTTCCCTAACATATAAGCCAGAGCCTTTGCTGATGTCATTCATTTCTCAGGCCCTGTGTATCTGCAGAGCACTGGGCTCACCAAGCCTTTCTGTCTCTGAGGCTAGCAGGCAGGTAATGAAAAGATCCATTGGCCCCTAATTGGTTTGGTAATTCTGATGAGATTCGATCTTTTGACAGGGGATTGAAGGGTGAGCATCCAACATGAAGAATCTCTGAGTTCAGGGACAGTTTCTTCATGCTGAAAACTTTCACAAACAAATGAAGCTGAACCAGGTGAAATTGCTATTATGCAGCTGCTCTTGACCTACAAAAGTACTAACTGGATATCATTCATAAAAACATGAAAGAGCATTGACCACTGTTCCCTTTCCTTGGCAGGAAGATTGAGGCAAGGCTACAGGCTACAAAGAGCAGAGGATCMCAGGATCTCAGCCAGATCCTGCAGAGTCAGGATACTGCAAACCAGAGATGAGGGCAGCATCTACTTTAGGGCCTCCGGTGGGACACTGGCTGGGGTAGGGTGGGGTAGAGTAGCATATTTTAGGAATATTTGAAAGTCATTAAGGATGAAGGATTKTTTTTCTTATTTTTTTTCAATGTAAGAATGTAACATCCCAGACTGAAAACAACTTAGACTTCTAAACTAGATTGGGGTTCAGAGTGGGTTCTGCCATGTGGACAAGTCATTTTGTCTCTCTGCRCCTCAATTTCCCCATCTGTAAAATGGGGATAATAACCACTACCTCTGGTGGTTTTAAGAATGAAGAGTAATGTAGGTAGAGAGAGGGGAGCTTGTGCTTAGCACCCCATAGGTGTGCAGTCATTGGCATCCTTGTTATTTCTACCTAATGGTTTCATTTTCTTCCATCTGCAGAGGTCTGTTTTGAAACAGTGTCAACTCGTGCTCACCTCCTCTGACCCAGACATGTTAGTCCACCAGAACAAAGGACAGTAGCACATACTTCCTGATGGTCCCCGTGCCCTTCCGTGTTCACTAGTAAATCTGAGTCCATATCCATGCCATTTCTCAGCAGCTGCCTTTGCCTCCCYGTCTGTCTTGCCCATCTCAGACAATTTGAATCCATCAGCACCCTGTTGACAGATTTTCTTAAGTCACTGCTCTTGCATCCCTGTCCGGCTCAGAAGTCTGTGAGACCCCCAATTCCTGCAGGTTAGGAACAAACACTTGTTCAGGCATCCAGAGCCTTCCACAAACAGTCCCAGTCAGTCCTACCCCAGCATCCCCATTACTTCCCCATGTCCCYACTCCTGTCCCCTGCAGCATCTCCACTATCTTCATCCCAATGGGAAGAGGCTGGAGCTCAAGTCCCAGCTCCATAACCTTCACCTCTGCAAACCTATACAAGCCCTCAGCCCCCTTCTCCTCTGCCAAGTGGGGATGATGAATCTGCCCAGTACTGTGACCTCCTAAGGGCAGGGACTGAGCTCCTTAGTGTCAGTCCTGAATTTAGTCCTGAGTGAGCCTCCACAGAGGTTTTTGAGTGGCAACCCAGTCTCCACACACAAAAAGAGGGYCCAGCAAATGCTGTGCCCCTGGCTAGACTGTCATGGGATGGACAGCTTTGCCTCTCCACAATTCCCATAGGCCCCTCTCCCCTGGGTTTGGTGCCAGGAACACTGGATTGGCTGGTTAGCAGCTTGATAGATTTTGAATCTGTAGTTCTCACACTTTAGTGAACTTCATCATTCCTTGGGGTAAGGATGGAGCTTGTTTAGGAATGCAAATTCCTGAGCCACCTCTTAGACATTCAGGTGGGGCTCGGGCACCAGYATTTGTAGCAAATACCACAGGTGGTGATATGGGTGGTCTGAGTCTGAGGACGCCCTTGGTGTTGGTTAGTCTTTCAGATGTCCACCGGCCACCTGCTGTTTTCAAGGCACTGTGCCATGTTGGAGGCATGAAGCCRCAGGCTGGACCTCAGGTCAGAGTTGATGGCGGTTGTTAAGAGGAGGGGGAGGATGGGTGTGGCCAATATGAGAAATCAGCCTATGGCATTTGCTGGAAAATGGATGGAAATGGAGAACATCATGCCCAGTGAAATAAGCCAGTCTTGGAAAATCAARGGTCGAATGTTTTGTCTCATATGTGGAAGCTAGAGCAGAGCAGTGATCAGAAGGAGGGGAGGGTCAGCTTTCACAAAGATATAAGGAAGATGAGTGGAGGAGAAGAAGGAGATTGAGAGGGAGAGAGGAGAGATGGGAATGGGGAGGAAATGTGGAATGATTTTTTTAAAACCATACTATGTGCATATATAAATATACCACAAGGAATTTCACCTTTACGTATAGTAGAAAGAACCAATTTTTAAAAAAAGATGAATGAAAGGAAGATCAGGAGAGGAAGAAGAATCGGGGGAGGGAAGAGGAGAGGGGAAAAGTGTTTTTTTTTTTGTTGGAGGGACATGAACTGAAATTGAATTCCTTGCATGTGTGATTTTGTCAGGATGAACCCAACTACTATGCGTAAGGATAATACTSTAATCAAAAGAAAAGAAAGAAAATTATACCATGGACCCAGGCTTCATTCAGTCTTGGGTCTCAGGTGTAAGGATGTGGGTGGGAGCAAAGGCCACCTCTGAAAGCCACTAGGAGCCAGCAAGTTGGTCAGGGAAGGACCAGAAACCAGAGTTCAGAGAAAACTGACCACCAGGCAGCTTCCTCCAGGAACAGGAACCATGAACGTGAGAATGACCAACCAAGTACTGGCGGATTCCTCATATTTCCTGCTCCCTGGTCCAGCCCTGCTTTTAACAGGTCGTCTACACCTGGAGGCTGCAACTTGGGCAACAGAGGAACATACCATTGACRTGACACAGCAGTGTGCTCAGTGCCCACCTGCGATGATGACCTTGAACAAGATGCTTAATTCCTGAGTCTGTCTCTCTCTTTCTGCAAAGTAATGGCCCCTAAAATATCCACTTCCCAATCCCCAAACATGTGACGATGTTATCGTAAGTGGTTGCACAAGTGATTAAGGGACTCTGATCTGGGATTATCCCAGTGCGCCCTCATAAGAGACAGGCAGGAAGATGAGGGTAGGTAGAAAGAATATCACTTCTCTGTGATGATGATGGGGTCACAAGCCAAAGAAATGAAGGGACCTCAAGAAGCTGGAGAGGGCCAGGCAATGGACTTTTCCTTGGGGCAACCAACCTTGAAGTCCCACTTCACTCTTCTGACCACCAGAACTGTATAAGAATAATTCATGTCGCTTTAAGCCACTAAGTTTGTGGCAACTTGTTATAGCACCCACAGGAGATTAGAATAGAGATGCAAAGAATGCAGCATTGGTGCCAAACTCAGAACCCAAGTACAGAAAGAGCTTGGTTCAAGTGCAACTCAGTAAAGGTAGCAATATTACCCACATTAGGTAAGTCTTAGATAAGGCAAAGGATGTGAGTACACCCCCATGTTTCTTGGTACCTTGTGGATGCCCAGTAGGTCCCTATCCTTCCCCTGAAGGTCTGGGTGGCTGGGGGAACCCCACCAAGGAGAAGTGTAGGAGACCTGCAGTGGCTTGTGCCCTCCCCACCCTTCAGGTCTCTGGGTCTGAGCTTCTGTCCTTTGGTAATCAGTGTGTGTGCTGGGGGGTCATTCCCTAGCCCTCCGACTCTCCTGAATTTGTTGTTGGTTTCTGTCTCCCCAATGGTACCTACTCTTACATATGACTCTAAAGCCCTTGGAATCTTTCCTGCATGAAGTTGGTGCTTTTCCAATTGCTATCTCTTGTCCTTGCAGGTGGCTGCTCTGTTGCTTCTTCATGGCACCGACTGCTTGTCATGTGACTTCTTTGTTTCCCCAAAGGCTCCACGACTGTGCTGGGCCCTTGGCAGCCCCATGCCACACCTTCCCCAAGGAGTCCACTGTCCTTTCTAGTTTGGAGACAACAATATGTGGTCCAGGGTCTGAGCCAGGCATTGGCTGCTTCTGCCAGAGCTCTCAGAGGGTGGGCTGCTGCTGGGCCCCAGCCTGTGAGGAGCATGTGTGCCCCTTTATCTCCTAGCACCTTCTGAAGGCTGTTCCCTCTGGCCTCCAACAGGGACCTTCGTCTCAGCCTTCACTGTGCTGTGTGGGGCCCGCACTGACCTCCCAGACAGGCACGTGTGCTGCGTCTTCTGGCTGAACATCGCAGCGGCCCTCATCCAGATCCTCACAGCCATCGTCATGGTGGGCTGGATCATGAGCATCTTCTGGGGCATGGACATGGTCATCCTCGCCAGTGAGTAGCTGCTAGTGCCACGCCTTCTTGTGGGTCTGGAGCCTGGAGGGATGTGAGGGCTGAAGGAGCGGCTCAGGGACAGGAGGGACTTGGGAGGCCTTCTTGGCTGATCACAGTCCTGCTCACCTCCTAAGGACAGGTGCTCTGCAGCACTCACCCCTGTCCTCCTCACGACTTCCCATGGCCACTTGGCACAGGGGGCATTCCCCACCACACCTGGCCAGGACACCTGTAGGGAGCTGAGTAGGCAGAGTCTCCTCTCAGATGGCGGAGACCTGAATGTTGCTTGGTACCTTGTGGATGCCTGGTAGGCATCCTGCAGGCATTTGTCAAGAAACAACCCACACTCAAGTCTGTGTAGCCCTGGAAGTGGCCTGAGTGAGCTCAGCCCCTTCACTAACCCCATCCTACAGTTTCCAGAAAGAAGGACAAGGCCATTGCCCACAGGAAACCCTACACTGTGTTTCTTACTGCTAAGGCTATGTGATTCCTTCTCGGGTTAAACTGAGCTCTTTGTTCATTGATGGTAAAGCTTTTCTAGTCTCATTTGGATGGGGCTGACCTTCACCAATCTGATGCAAACATGATTCAGACACAAAACCATTTTGCCAAAGGGTATAAAGTTACAAACTCAAATTTACCAAAGATGACTTGATTACTATTTTTAAAATAACCAAGCAAAACCTAAATCAGACATCACCTGCTTTGAGCAGCTGCACACACTTCTCCCTTTGCCACTGTCCAAGTTCTCATGAAGCTGTAGCTCCTCAATAATCAGGACCCCATCTCTTCGGGCACTTTGCCCTACCCTACCCCAGCCTGACTCCATACTCCTCATTGGGTCCCACACCCAATGAAACCATTCATAGGTGGAATTGCCAGTGCCAAAGGCAAGCTGCCCTAGGTGAGGGCAGCAGAGGCAGACAGGGAAGCCCAGGGTTCAAGGAACCTAGAATGATCTAGAATAATCTAGAAAGATCCAAGTCAACAACCTGAGTTTGGGATCCTGTGAAAATCCAAGACCTGACACACACACAATGCCAGGGACAAGGCCAGTGACTAATCATGTCACCAGGCCAGAGAAGATGCAAGTACCTGAGCCTGAGTAATACCTGCAGAGCCAGTGTCTGAGTCAGACAGGCTGCCCACAACGGGTCCTCCAGGAGCACCGGTAAGGGGAGGAAGTGGGTTGGCTGGACTTAGGGCATCTCAGAATTAGAGCAAACCAGGCACATTCTGGGCAACCAGGGGCAGCCAGAAATGGGAAGAGGCACAGCAGGCCTGGCCAGCAGCTGAGTGTGGGCTGCCCTGGTGAAGGATAAACTGATAAGCAGTAAGAGAACTACTCCTTCCTGCTGCAAAGGGCCTTTCTGGGGCAGTGGCTGCTCCTGCAGGTTGGGCTCTGGGAGGTGGGCCTGGAAGAGTCAGTAGAGCGCAAGGCAGGCAGGTACTGCTCTCCAATGGAGACCTGCCCTGTGTCCAGGGGCCGCTTACATTTTGTAGGAGAGGTCAGAACATTACTGATTCAAAAGAACGGTTACCCACCTTCTGGTGAGTCCTCAAAGCTGCCTGACAATTTCTCAGAGGGAATTGGGGTACAGGCTCCTGACCTCGTTTCTAACTGGAACCTTGGAAGGCCATGAAGCCTGCCYTGGCTTCACACCTATGAACCCCTCTTACTGGTTCATCTGCTCATCAAACCAAGGGTCTGGCCAGGTGCTGGGACTTTCGTGTGTTAGTCAGCTTTGTGTCGCTATGACAAATACCTGACATAAATAAACTTATAAAGAGAAAAGTTTTATTTTGGCTCACAATTCTGGAATTTCAACGTTTTGGTCCATKGTCAGTTGACTCCATTGTTTTAGGGTCTGTGGTGAGGCAGCACCTCATGATGGAACAAAGCTGCTCAGCTCACAGCCAGGAGGCAAAGGAGAAAGAGGAAGTGACCACAGTCCCACAGTTCCCTTGAGACACACCCCCAGTAACCTAAGACCTCCCACCAGGTCCCACCTCATAAAATTTCTTCTACCTCCCAATAATGCTGCTGTGGGGACACATGGGCCTTTAGGGAACATTCCACACTTGCAGGATGAGCAGGTACATCTCTAACCCCAGTCTTTCCCCCTCCCTTCCCAGAACCCTAATCCCTTCCTGTGGATGAGAGTCAGCTCCTTAGACGTGTGGACGCTGGCTCTACGGAGCTGTCTTTGCATCAAACTCTGTAGGGAGCACATAAGAAAAATAGTCACACGGTAGCCTCGTGCCCACCGACCCTGCCTGACCACCAGTGTCACTCCCCCAGCTCAGCAGGCGATGGCTTTGCACTTTTTCCAAAAATCGCACCCGCCCTCCAAGGACACGTCTTGCCACCTGTGCGATGGGCAGAGATTGCTCTGAGCAACAGTGGAGTGTGTGTGTATCTCAGAGTCGCTTCTAGAAAGGAAAGGCCACAATCCACTTGTCTGTCCTAGTAGACAGTTGGATAAGGGGCTGTTCTTTCTGGTGTCACTCCAGGCCCTTCCTGTGAAAATGAAGGAAACGTTTCAGTTGTGACCACACAGGTTGACTTTTCACATGGCACCCTCCAGGGTGTTATCGGCAAGAAAAACTCCTAATAATCCAAAATAAATGGGAAAACTGGGGGTGGGGGAGGGGGTTCTGAGGAATGATCAGTAGAGTAAATGAAGGGGATTGAGGAGGGTTGGGATAAGGGAAGAAAGGGGGACTGAATCCGACTGACCTTTCATACGATGTTTATGAGTACACCACAGTGAATCTTAAAATCAAGTCTATCCACCAGACACTAAAAAAAACACCTGTAAGTAAATTGCAGAGAGATCAGTAAAGTAGGGGGAGGAGATCGGGAGGGAGGAGGAGGGAACGGGAAGGTGCTGGGGACTGAATAAGAGCAGATTATAATCCGTGCTTTTGTGATTATGTCAAAATGAATCCGAATGTTATATATAACTAAAAAGAACCAAGAAAAAAAAAAGAGAAAAGCTCCTAAGAGGGAAATCAGAGAAATATAGACAAAAGTACAAGTGAGAGTCAAGAACTTACCAGCCTGCTGCCCTATTTGTATTCATCATAACATCAGTAATGGTCTGTCTTGGGTCACAGGTTAGTAGGTACTTGGTAGCTGTCTGGAGGGTTCCTTCTACAGCTGTACCCATGACAGATGTTGCTACTCCATCATGACACTGTCATCCCAGGGCTTCAGGCAGTTGATCCAAGATGTCTGCATGGTCATTGGCCATCTCTGAGCCTGGGTATTTTCCCAGAGCATTAGGTCTTATATATGTGGCTCCTGTCCATACAGAGGGCAAAACCACATGGCCCAAAGAGCAGGGTGGACACCAGAACAGTTCACCTCGGTATCTTTAGCTTGTCACAACCAAACCTGCCCTGCACCCATCACTCCTGAGATGCATCCAGAATTTATCTCAAGGCATGGGCTGGGGAGGAAAAGAGAATGAGGGCGGGAGGTGAGCAGAGGTGTGGCCTGGCTGGGATGTGGGGGCTGGGGAGGCACTGGACAGAGTGTCTTGGCAGAACTTCTGTGTCTCCCCTGCCATCCTAATGGGCCTACCGCTGGCCACAGTGACTAGTCACCATGACCAGTGAGCACCCCTTGTCAGAGGACTGGACTTCTAGGAAGTCACTGGAACAGCGCCTATTCTGCCTCCCGGGACCCTCCCTGGGTCCCCTCCCATTGTGTATTTCAGGCATCTCTGTGGCTTCTGTTTGTAGACTGTATTTTCTTTCTCTCTTCTTCCTCCTGCTGCCTCCCGTCTCTATGTTGCTGCAGTTTCTCAAGGTGAGTCTGCTGATGGGCACATGGACCTGGGGCTGCCCGGGGGCCCTCTCCTCTCTGGGACCACCACTCTTGCCCACAGACACCCCACTCTCCCAGTTGGTCAGCGGTCTTTTATTTTTAACTTTATATTTTGGAAAAATATAGATGAAGCTCACACCAGCTTCAAGCAGTCACTGCCACCCTGTTTCATCCATTACTCCCACCGTCTCCACACCCCCACCAGCACTGGATCATCAGCACCTAAGGTTAATGAGTAATCTGCTAGATGAAGAGGGAAAAACCCAGTTAAGTCCATGGACGCTCCTTCTCAGACTAAGATAATTAGTGGATGGGGATAATGGCTCAGCAAATCCACTCAGATAATTTCAGCTCTGTAATTTCACCCAAACATATTAGCAATGATTCCTTAACATCAACAGTGTTTGTATTTTCCCAAAGGTGGCTGAGGATGTAGCCCAGTGGTAGAGCGCTGACCTAGCACACACCACACAGATACACGAACACATGGGTTGAACATCCTCATGACGGTTGTTTCCTTCCAGGTACTGCCTTCCTCCTTTCTTCCTGCCTCCTCTCCACCTGTGCCACAGGACCAACACTTGCTCACTCACTTGCCTGGACTTTTCCCCAAGGCTCTGCATTTTGCCATCCCACCAGGGCAATCTGGTGGAGCCATTTTTATGCAGCTGCTTCTGGACTATGAATTCAGGAGCACATCAATAGCCTTCCAACCTGCACCCTAAACACCCCTTCTCATCTATTGCACAGTTCTTGATTCATCCTTTCATTTTCTAATTAAAAGCCAATGCCCTTGGGAAGTCAAGTCCTGACATAGCAGTCATTTATACCATAGTATGAATTAACTCTCGCGAGAATATTCTGGTCTACAGACATCTCCTAGAGAATTCTTAAAGGCCAAGGGAGCCTAACCATCTCTCTCTTCTGCTTCTTCCTCACAGGGTACAAGGAGCAGGGCATCCCACAGCAGCTGTGAGCCTGCAGGACCCACCAAGGAAGTCCCGGGGCCCTGCAAGGGCTGCACCAGGCAGCTTGTGGCACAAGGACCTTTACATGTTCTTTTCTGCCGTTTCCTGGATTCGGGGTGGAAAAGGGGGTATTTTTAGAAATATTATTTATTTTGAAATCGCATCTGCTTTTCTCAGCAGGCTCTGAGGGCTGCCAGCCCCTCCTCCTGCCCGGGAAAGCATGGTAGGCTCAGGCACGTGGAGCACTGGGGAGTGGGGCAGAGATGGGCATGTCGACAGAGAGGCTGGGATGCTCCTGCAGGCTCACCTTCACCTGGCAGTGCCCACCGCCCACTGCAAGGGTACTCCAGAGCTGCAGGGCTGGACTGCAGTGGTCCCTGTCCAGGTGATTGGGGCTTGCTAAGGGGGCGGGACTGTGGAGGACACTTCCTCTGGGTCCCCATTCCTGCCTCAAATATCTGGTGCCCCTAGTGTTTACTCTGTGGTCTCCTGGGGGCAGCTCCAGGGTGCAATTGAGGATGGCCAGTTGCCAGTCCAGTGTGGAAAGTTCCACTATGCTCACAGCTGGCATTGGGGAGAGCATGGGTCCCCATGGGTCTGACCACAAACTCAGTCTCCTTGCCGCTGATATGTAATGGCAGAGTGTGTTTGGTCCATGATTTCCCTGGGTGGGAGGGCAGTGGCTCTGTCCCTGGGGTGAAATTGCTGGAATTGCCAGGCTGAGGTGTGAGTGGGCACGAACTGGCTGCTTTCCTCATGATGCTTAATACCATTTCTGGTCCACAGTCCTTTTTTTTCTGAAATCCTTGAAGCCAGATGTGTCTCTGAATCAGGAAATTTTGGATTTGAGAAAGATGGTATGATCTATTTTCTGCATATTTCCTAACACCCTGGCAGAGTCTGGAACAGCCCACCCACCATCCAGCACATGAGTATTTCTGCAGAGAAACATGTGAATAGTCAGATTAATTGGGATCAATAAAAAATGTAAATAGTGTTGCCTATTCAGGTCAGACTAGATAAGTCCTGGAAGAAAGACTACCGCTAGATAGGTGGCTTTTGGAGTTTCAGAATTTCAAAGCAATTTAAGGAGGTGGTGGACCTCCATCTGAAAAACCCGACTTGCACACAGATGCATTGGAGGTGAGATTGTTGGTGCTGCACAGGGACCACAAGGCTCCTTTAAGCCACTTCTCTGAAATTGATGGCTGCAGATTAGATTTTAGTGGAACCAGGAATCAAGAGAAGGCGTGCCCACTGCTGCCAATCAAGTGCCAGTCTGAAATTAAGAGAAAGGAGATCCAGGGGCTGGGGTTGTGGCTCGGTGATAGAGAGCTTGCCTAGCACGTGTGAGGCCCTGGGTTCGATCCTCAGCACCACATAAAGATAAAATAAATAAAGGTATTGTGTCCATCTACAACTAAAAAGATGCTTAAAAAAAAAAAGAAAGAGAAAGGAGATCCAAAATGGATATATCTAACACAGGAAGTGATAACACATGGGAACTGGCCCCAGCGCTCAGGTTCCAGACCCCTCTGGGCTTTGAACTGTTGGATGTGTCCCTGTTTAAGGGACTTTTCTGATCTATCAGAGGCTCTGTCAAAACCCTGTCAGGGCTAGAGCAGGAACCTGGCTACAATGCGGGATGTGGGCTCTAGGGAAGTGGCGCCCACTGCTCTGGGGATCCCATTCCACCTACCCCTACTAGTGGGCTATCTAATTACAGTTCTGCTGGGGAGCAGACTTTGAGATTCCCCACAAACTGAACTGTCCCCTGACCTCTGTGAGGCATGGGGTCCTGTCCTGCCACTTACTCCTGGCCCCTACTCTGAGGCAAGTTCTCTGCTCCTACTCTGTCCTTCCCACGGTCTGCCCCTTAGTTTTCATGAGCCTCTTTCCTTTCATTGACGCCTGGGGCTGGGCTGCACTTTCTGAGCACCAGGCAGTGTCTCAACGCTTCCTGGGCCCCCTTCTTCCTGACCTCAACCCCAACTTTGATTGCTTTTTCTCCTATTTGGAACCCTCTAGACTTCAGTCATGGGATCAGATTTGGTTCCACCCAAATAACCAGAGGCCTGCAGCCCGCCGCTCTCCAGGAAGGTGCATCAGAGAACGGGGACACCCCTCAAATGAGAGGAAACAGCATCAGCAGAGGTCCCAGCCACCCCCTCCCACAACCCACCAACCCACAGCCCTTCATCCCCAACAGTCCCCCAAAATTGCCTGACTCTCCCTGAGTGCTGACAAGTCTTGGGAGGGGGCTGCCCCCACAAGTGAGAGAGCAGGAGCTTATTTTCCTGGCTGGGGCTGGGGGTGGCTGCTGAAGGAGTAGAGGAGAGGTAGCAATTTGTGTTGGGTGTTTAGTGACACGATCCAGACGCGGGTGGGATATTCTTGAGTGGCAGGTGTCACCGTATGTGGGATGGCTTAATACAGGGGTTTGTGAGCTTGGCAGGCCACCTCCTCCTCACCCCGCACCGTCCTCTCATTTGAGGGCTGTGTCTCTGCATTTGGGAACACATCAGGCCAGAAGGAAGCAGCCACTCTCCAGGTAAAGGATGTGTGGGAGAAGGCAGGGGCCCCCATCTCCTGAACAGCGAATCTGTGAGGGTGGCCATGTGGGTGGGAACAGCTCAGAATAGAGGTCTTCTGAATTAGACCATGGTCATAGCATTATCAGGAGATAAGGACAGCGGCCAGTTTACTCCAAGTCATCCAAAATGGCCATTTGGATGGTCAGAGTTCATTGATTAAGCAAAATGGAAAGAAGGGTCCTTGTGCCAATGAGTGCTTGACTGACACACAGCCCTTTGGTGACACAAACTGGAGCTTTGCCTGGATGGTATGGCACAAGGCTGATGGTTCAGGAGTGGCAAGACACGTTTCAGAGTTCAGCAGGATGCTCCCTGGCTGGAGGGTGTGGGGCAAGAGTCACAGGCTTGTAAATGAGACCCTCCAAGGACCTAGTTGTGACACTGTGATCAGGGTGGCCATTTCCCTTTGGCCAGAGTGGGACCCTGGAGCAAGAGTGAGGCACCTGGCACCCTGGGTATGTCCCAAGGATAGTAGCAACTGTCAGGCCAGGACAGCCAGGACCCCATGGGTACAACAGAAGCAGTACAGTACCCCTGTACTGGTCTTGGCACCCCTGGGGCCTGCTGTGCTGCTGGGCCCCAGCCCCAGCCCCAGCCCCAGCCCGACAAGCCGCTGGCCTTTCCTTGGCCAAGTCTCTTTGAAGGAACAGAAGGAAGGGACCTGCAGCATGGTTTCTCTCCCAGACCCCCTTGCCCAGCTCCAGTGAACAGCCTCCACATGAGGGACCCTCACCCGGCATTTTTATCTCCTGTCACCCTTCACAGCAGCCTGGGAGGGGAGATCCTTGTGCTGAGTTTTCAAATATCAAAGTGAGGCCTCAAGAGAGTAAGTTCCATGTCCCCAGATGTATGGCTCATGTGGCAGAGGTAGGGAGTGGCCAGGTCTGGCTCCTCCTACAACCAGAGCCAAAGAACTCCTGGCAGGGGGCCTGGGAAGGGCCCCCTCAGAAGTATAAGGCGTTAACAAATAGAAAGTAACCTTCCGGGAAGAAACCCCGGGGCCTCCAACCTGTCCCACGTGCTGCCTGTTCTCACCATTTTGAGTAGCCTCCAAGCCCACACTCCCTTGCTGGGGTCAGGTCCAGAGGGATGTCCCTTATGGAAAGATAAGATGACGGTGGCCAGGGAGAGAGCGAGAGCTGGTATTGGGAGTTATCTGACCCTAACTCAAAAGACCACTCCTTTCCCATCTGGGGGGTTCCAGCCTTTCAGATACATGATGGAGAGTCGGGGTAAATTCAGCCTCGTGCAGGATGCTGTGGGCTGAGGAGCCCTGGGGAGAACTCCCAGGGAATCTACAGAACTACAGTCTCCCCGGGAAGGAAAAGGGACCTAGATGTCCAAATCAACCACACCCCAAACACGGAGCCCAAGGCCAGCACACAGCAGGGCGGAAACCCCAGGACCAGGGCCAGGGCCCTCCAGAGCCCTGAAGTTCCTGATGGGGAAGGTACCGCTGAATGACAATGAGCCTCCTGCACCAGCTTGGCCTTTGAAAACACCAACCTAAAACCCCACTCTCAAACTTTTCCTTTAGCTAACCCCTTCCCTGGGGTGAGTTTGCGGGGGTTCGCTTCAGTTTGGTCTGGACACAGAGTCCGGCCTCCTCAGGGGCCCATCCTGGCTCCCAGGCCCCCGCTCAGGTTTTCATACTCTGAGTCTGTTTTTTTACTGTGTTTAGTGATATTGGCAGAGAAAGCTTGGAACGTTGTRTAAACGGCTTGGAGATGGATGCTTGAGACGTACATTCTGCACTTAGTGGCTGGAGACATTATTTACAGTTATTATTAGTCCCTCTTTCTGGCACTGTGTGGAGGGCTCCCCTCAGAGGGACAGGAGCTGGGGAGCCTTTGAAAGCCCCCCTCCCCCACCAGCCCAGTTCTCCGTGGCTTTGCCTGTGGTTGGGGGCCTCAGGCTTGGGAACAGTTAGAAGTTGTGGCTGCCAGCCTGCTGTCCACCTCCCCACCCCTGGACAGAAGTGGGCCTGGGGCTGAAGCAACATGCCACCTGGCTCCCTAGGGCTCAGTAGAAGCCATTTGCTGGCCTCAGGGAGTCCACCATGGGCCACCTTGGCTCTCAGTCAGCAAGCACTCTGGGAGATCCTGCTGGGACAAAAGATACCCTCACCTCCACATGCCCGTGACCCCAGCCCCCACAGGGGACAGCAGGGTGTAGGGGACATCTTGTTCAAGGAACAGACTGCCTCTTCTCCTTCCAGAGCTCTCTTAAGCGCAGGCTGTAGGGGATGAGGAGGTCATCTTGCCAAGGAAAACTGACAGTGGTCCTGTTGGATCGGCGAGGTTCTGAAATAACAATTTAATAAAAAGGTCAACCTGAGTAGGTGCGTGAGAGGCTCAGGGCTGTGGTTTTTCCTGAGCTTTCTCCCCAATGAATTCTTGGAGCTCCTGAATGTTCATGGGGTTACAGAGGTGGGGAGTGCTCATGCTCAGAGCATAACCCACCMCAATTCTCAGGACATGCAGAGACTGGATGAATCCCAACCAGAGTGAAGCCAAATGCCCCCCCCCCCCCCCGGTGCGGGGGAGCTCTGGCCCCAGCACGGTTAGGGCTGCCCACCTTGCTCCATGGGCTTCATGCCACAATTGAACCATCCATAGGCTGGGAACCAAGTGGGTCCTGGGAAGCCATCATTTTTCCTATTTCTGTCAAAGCAAAGGGCTCTGAGGGCCCAGCCCCACAGGGGCTCTCGCAAGGCCTTGCCTTCTGACTCAAAGTACTGGCAGTCCTAGAGTGGAGAGAGCCACAACTCATTGGCAGAACAGAAACACTGTTCTGAAATTCCACAGTCCCCTCTCCCAATGCTGTCAGAGGGCAGAGAGACCCAACTTGTAAGTGTGTCCTGAGTTTCTGGTACAAGTCAAAGTCCCTTGATTCAGATTTAGCTGGGAAACCTGGGTCCCCAAATCTCTCCATGTTCTTCTGCCTGGATTTGCCAAAATGCCAACTAGTTGGGCTGGTCTGGACTCCACATTCCACCACCTGCCCTGTTCAGAAGGGCAGAGGTATGGACACACATGGGGCACACACACCCACACTCCAGCCCCTGGACTATGGGTGAAGCAGGGCAGGGTCTGCCTGGGGACCTAGAATAAGACTTATCTCCACTGGCCCCCTACCCTGTTCCAGGGTGATCTCTGGCTGATGGTTCCGTACACCCTCACCATGCACAACCTTTACACACAGGCATACATTGTTTTCTTTCTCTCCAGGGCCTCTGACCTGTGGATCTCTTCTTTTTGGGGCCCAGGGGCTCAGCACCAACCCCCACTCCACCAATCCTGCCTGTGTTTGTCCTCCACATCCCTTGCTTGGCCTTCTGAGGGAGGGATGGTGGGGGGGCCTGGCCAGAGAAGAGTGTCCTCTTTCTGAGGTTCCCCTGAAGACGCAGATAATTTTCTCTTCTGAGACCCCTCTCTGTTCCTACAACACACCCACCTGCCCCAGCATAGGATCCAGAGAGGAAAGAAGGAAGACGCGTATTTCAAGCAGGGAGAAGGGGTGATGGGGGCTCTGTGGGCACCTGTGTGACTGGCCCTTGTCATGGGCTCTTAAGCCATGCTGTTGAACATGGCACCATTTTTAAAAACAACCCATGTGAAAATAAGACCAATGCTTCTGTGTGTATCTGCTGAACATATGTATGGATGAGTGTTGTGTTGTGAACTGCAGTCTTTTAATACCGGAC